TATCCAGCTTCAGCAGTTATCAACTCATGGTCAGTCTTCTTTTATCCATAATTCTACCTACTCCTTGCCCTGCACCCGGATATTTTGAAGTATAAGTCCTTGATATGATATCATTTCAATCCTAAGTGTAGCTGGGGACTTTAAAAAAATTATAACTACAGTTTAAATTTCACAGTTAAAAATTTTAGCATTAATTTCTTTTCTGTTTTGTATATAGATAGAGGAGATTTTTTTTTTAGGCGAGTTGGCTCATGCATAAGGGCTGAGAAGTCTCATGGTTGGCCGTCTATAAACTGGATACCTTGGGATGCTGGTAGCATGGTTCAGTCAAAGTCTGAAAATCTTAGAACCAGAGCAGCCAATGGTGTAATTTAGTTAGAGGCCAGAGTCTAATTTCTTAATATTATCATATATCTAGTCAGTGTTTGCTTTGACTAATTGTCTTAAAAATTTAGAAAACCATTTGTTTGAATTAGGAACTAGAATTGGTTAACTATTGTGATTGGGTGATAGGCTTTTTGTTTTATTTGTTTTGGTGGCTGGCTGGTGCGGTGTTTGGCTTTTTAAGCCTCTTTTAGTCTATGGGCTTCCTCCGTCTGTCTCTCTCTTCCCCTCTGTCTCTCAGATATGTGTGTGTGTGTTTTATTTTTATTTTTATTTTTTTTAATTTAATTAATTTATTTTTTTTAAAAGATGACCGGTAAGGGGATCTTAACCCTTGACTTGGTGTTGTCAGCACCACGCTCAGCCAGTGAGCGAACCGGCCATCCCTATATGGGATCCGAACCCAGGGCCTTGGTGTTATCAGCACCGCACTCTCCCGAGTGAGCCACGGGCCGGCCCGTGTGTGTGTGTTTTAAAGAAACTGGTCATTTGTTCTGTAGAGTTTCCCACAATCTGAATTTTGACATTGTTTAACTGTGCTATGACTTTGACATGTTCCTCTGACCCTCATATTTTCTGTCATTTGGATGTCAGAGGTAGTGCTTGATCAGATTCAGCTTCAGTGTTTTTGTTTTTTTTCGGTGGTGCCTGTACTTCCTTCAGGGTGCTTATAAAGTCTGGTTGTCTGGTTGGTTTGCTTTTGTGATTGTGGTGGCCATAGATGGATGATCATTACCTAGATGCGTTAAATCATCATGAGTTCTTGTAAATTTGGCTTTTAGTGTTCATTATTCTCCCTGACCTTTCTGGTTTAGAATAGTTTTGTTCTTCTATTTTTTCTTTTATCCTGGGTTACTCTTTCACAATTTTTTTCTTTTTGTCCGCACCTTAAGTGTTTTTTTTGTACCTTAAGGTTCTGTCTTGGATACCTTTCTTACTCTGCACACTCTGGGTGATTTTTCCCTTAGAGTTCCTAGCGTAGACCTTTTTTTTAAAAAAAAAAAAAAAAAAAAAAAGACCCGTAACGAGATCTTAACCCTTGACTTGGTGTTGTCAGCACCACACTCTCCCAAGGGAGCCACGGACCGGCCCTGTATACACCTTTATTCTAAGCTTCAGAACCCTTGACTTGGTGCAGCACCACACTCTCCAAAGGGAGCCACGGACCGGCCCTGCATACACCTTTATTCTAAGCTTCAGAATCATGAGTCCTAATGCCTCTTTGGAGTCCTGCACTCTGGGCTATTAAGGCATCACATTCTTCTGATTTTCTTCCTACCTCAGTGACTGCTGCATGTCTCTTCCCATTTTTTTTTTTTTCTTGTGGCTCATTGGTACAGGGATTTGAACCTGTGACCTTGGTGTTATAAGGCTGCGCTCTAACCAGTTGAGCTAACCGGCCAGCCATTGCTGCCTGTCTCCTTATCTAACTTCCCCTGAAAGGCAATACAGATTAAAAGCTAAGAGCTCTGGCTCTGGAGCCAGACTACCTAGGTTTGCACACTGTCTGAACTATTTATTAGGTAGGTTTCCTTGGGCCATTTAACTTTTCTATTCCTCACCTCATCTTTAAAATGAAATACCTATTTCAGTGGATTTTATGAGAGAGTTAATATATCTAAAGTACTTAGAACGTTCAGTAACTGTTAGTTATCATGACCATTACTTATCCTTCTACTTTTGGACCTTAAATGTTGATGCTCCTAATACTTTGTCCTTGCTTCTTGCTTTTTCTTTTTTCTCCCTACTTTCTTTCCCCTGTTATCCATTCCCATGTTTTGTTATGTTTTTTCATTTTTTGGCTGCTGACCAGTACAGGGATCCAAACCCCTACCCTTGGTATGTTACAAGACTGTGCTCTAAACAACTGAGCTAACCAGCCAGACCCCATTCCCATGGTTTTAAATACTGTCTTTTATTTATTTATTTATTTGGCAGCTGGCCTGTACAGGGAGAGAACCTTGGACCTTGGTGTTATCAGCACCACGCTCTAACCAACTGTGCTAACCGGCTAGCCCTTTAAATACTGTCTTCATACTAATTCAAAGGTTTAAGCCCAGGTGTTATAGATTAGAAATAGGATCTAGAAGACCTCAGCTGATCTTGTGGGGAGTCCTGAAGATGACTACTCAGACCTGTCTTCAGTTGAGGTTTGAAGGCTGGACCTTTATACCTCAATCTTTATACCACCTTAATATTTGGATGTGGGTCCTTGTGAGAAGGGGGTATATAACCTTGAGTGGGACAACTCTTCAACTAGGCAGTCCCCATAGGTGAGGGCTATCAGCTAGTGGCACTCCCAGCAGCTGAAGTAGTAAGTCCTTTATTCCTAAGGAGGATCTGGGTGGCACATCACAGTATCTGCTACACTTCTGCCATAATGGCTTGGCCATCTACGTAGTTGTTCATTGATTTAGGATTAATTTTTAATTCCTCCTCCATCTCCCCTCACTTCTGTTGAAACATTCTCTACCTTCAGGGTATATATATCTCAAACATTCTTTTCCTCCTAGCCTCTGTCACAATGACATCATTCTGTTACCTCTCCCCTGGCCTCCCACATGGTCTTCTCACCCTCATTTTTGCCCCTTGGCAAGCTCTGCCACACAGCAGAGAAGCATTCCTTTTAAAAATTTTAATCTGATCTGGCCACTCCTCTGTCACTCTTTTAGAGGCTTTCTGTTGTACTAGGATACAATGCCAGCTACTCACTAGGGCCCGCAAGATCTGACTCCTGCCTCTTACTCCAATCTGTCAGATGCTGGTTTCCCCTTTACACTGTGCTTTAGCCACACTGTTTTTTTTTTCATTTTCACAGAAAAAGCCAAGTTGTTTCTCACATCAGGGCCTTAGCTCTTCCCCCTGTTTGGAATGACTTCTGCTTTCACCTTTCATGTTCTTTAGGTCTCAGCTTAAATGTCATCTCTTCAGACCCCACAGAGAGGCAGAAGATTCTTGTCCTCCAGGTCCCTCCCTCCACCCCCATATAATGTTCTTGCTTTTTTCATTAGAGCACTTACCACATTTCTAATGTTAGATGTATTCTGCTTGTTTGGTCTCTGTATTCTCCCTTTAGGATGCAGATAAATTCAGGACAGCCGGTGCCATGTCTGTTTTATTTACCATGGTTAGCACCTAGCACTTTGCATATAGTGGGTACTCCATGTTCAGTAAATGTATGAATGAACTTACTGATTCCCCCATCAAAGCCCAAGGTATAGAAGCTCCCTTACTTTCCTGTCTTGGTAGCACAGCCCAACTTAAACTTGGAACCTGGGAATCAGCTCATACACTTTTTCCTCAGTCCTTTCCATTCTGCCACCATGTTCTGTCCAGTTTAAACTCTCATCATTAAAACCGTTAATAATCTGTTGTCCCAATCTCATTCCCATCAAACACCATCCTAATTGTTTATTCTGTCACAAGATTGATCTTTCTAAAAATGTAATCATGGTCACTTATTTTTCTGTTTAAAAATCTTGAATTGTTTTTCATTGTCCATAGGGTAGAAGTCTGAACTTCCTAGCTTTTTTTTTTTTTTAAGAAGATGACCGGTAAGGGGATCTTAACCCTTGACTTGGTGTTGTCAGCACCACGCTCACCCAACGAGCTAACCGGCCATCCCTATGTGGGATCTGAACCCATGGCCTTGGTGTTATCAGCACCACACACTCCTGAGTGAACCACAGGCTGGCCCTGTACTTCCTAGCTTTGTGTACAGGCCCTGTCTGCCTTTCACCATCCTTTCCTCTCTTATTGCCATCTGTGCCTCCCATTGCACACTTATTATGGCTGTGCTGATCTACTTGGGGGTCGTTCCAAATAATCTGCTGTTCTATGTCTCCATGTCTTTGTCATGTTCTTCACTTTCACCCTGGCAAACTGATACTCAGTCTTTAAAACCTTCCCCAAAGTTAATCACTCTCATCTGTGCTAATTTAATACCTGGTACATGTCACTACTGCATACAGCACACTATTGTAATTATTTATTTGCCTGGTATGCCTTCCTAGACTGAATTCCCTGTGGTCACATGTGTCTAATTGCCTTGTGTGCCCGCTGCTTAACGTGGGATCTCACATATAGAAGATGCTTAGTAAAGCTAAATGAAATCTAGTACAACTCACTCATTTATAGATTAGGAAAATGAGGCTCAGAGTGGCAACTGACTTGTCAAAGATCATCCATTAATTTGGTTAAAAAGTAGTCATTAGTAGTGTTGTTATCATGTATATTGTACTTATCTACCTATTTCATTTTGGTTTTTGTTTCTGTGAACAAGTTTACTGTAAATGAAACTTTGAGCTTAGGAGTCAAACCCAGTTTTGACTGGATTACTGACACATATGACCTTGAGAAACCTGGTTATCCTCTTCAAGCTTCAGTTTCCTCAGCTATGCAACAGTAATAATAATACTGTTGTTCTTTCTAATATTAGTGCAAAGAGTAAATGAGGTATTCTTAGTAAAGGGTTTAGAACAATGCCTGGTACAGAGTAAGCAGTAAACGTAGTCATTATTGTTATTAGCAGCATCTATTGTAGTTTATTGCCACATGCATCCTGGAAAGGCATGAGATCTAATCGTCATTACAAGCTGGTTCTGGTTCTCTTATAGGCAAACTGACTGATAGAACTGCAAGCATTTTCCAAGGCAACCAAATGAAATTGAAGCTGGTCAAAATCCAAAAAGCTAAAATCTCTACAGCTGCATTCATAAAAGCCTTCTGCCATCATAAGCTCATTGAGCTGGATGCTACTGCAGTGCATGCTGACCTCCCAATCCCAGACATCATAAGTGGACTCTGCCGCAATAGCTGGATCCAACAAAACCTCCGGTGTCTCCTGTTAGACTCAACAAGCATCCCTCAACATTCAAGACTATTCTTTAGTCAGCTCACTGGTCTCCGCATTTTAAGTGTTTTCAATGTTTGTTTTCATAGTGAAGACCTGGCCAATGTTTCTCAGTTACCAAGTCTGGAAAGCTTGGATATCTCCAATACTCTGGTCACTAACATCTCTGCACTCCTTAACTGTAAGGATAGACTCAAGTCTCTCACAATGCACTATCTGAAATGCCTGACAATGACCAAACCACAAATACTTAAAGTCATTAGAGAACTTAAATGTCTGCTTCACCTTGATATTTCTGATCACAGGCAACTCAAATCAGACCTAGCTTTTCATTTGCTACAGCAGAAGGATATCCTGCCTAATATTGTGTCACTGGATATTTCTGGGGGCAGTTGCATTACTGATGGAGCTGTAGAACTGTTTATACAGCAGCGGCCTGCAGTGCAATTTGTGGGACTATTGGCTACGGATGCTGGTTATTCTGACTTCTTTACTACAAAGCAAGGCTTGAGGGTTTGTTCTTATCTGAAATGTTTTGTTTCATTTTTCCCGGAACATTATTAAGCTCTTGCTGTACACCCGAATCTGTACTAGGAGGCAGGGTTATAAAGACAGATAAAAAATCCTTAAGGTGCTTAATTAGTAATCAATAATTAATAATTATTGTGCACCTACTATGTGGTAGGTCATGGGAATAAAAGATTGAAATACAGTCCCAGCCTCCACGTCTTCTAGTCTAGTTTGATAATGATCAATTCACGGCCATTTATACATTACTTCCTATGTGCCAGGTGCCATGCTGTGCATGTTTTCTCCTTTTAAGCCTTCCATTTTATGGATAAAGAAATTGAAGGTCAGGAAGGTTTAGCTACTTACCACAATAATGGAACTAACTATTAAATGGCAGAGCTGAGACCTGTACGCAAGTCTTTGTGACACTAAAACTTGCACCTCTATTAAGAACTTAATATAATTGATAAGGCAGGTAATCAGCCTGGCTAACATTGTTGGCCAACTTATGACAAAAAGCGATTTTAAAAAGGGCACTTAAGAAAAAACTTGTAGGCATTGCTGGAATAAGTTTATAGCTTCTTATGGTGTTACTTTTGAAAGCAATATATATTTAAATATATATATATATTCAGGAATATTTCTTTTTTAAAACAGTGGTTCTTTACCTCAGTTGTACATTGTAATCACTTCAGAAGCTTTAAAATATGAGGGTAGGGGCTGGCTGGTTAGGTCAGTTGGTTAACACCAAGGTCACAGGCTCAGATCTCTTTACTGGCCAGCCGCCAAAATGAAACAAACAAAAATAAAAATACAAGGGTACTTCAAACATGGAAAGATTCATATTATCTTTAGTTTGTTATGTTTTGTTGGCAGCTGGCCAGTACAGGGATTGAACCCTGGATCTTGGTGTTATCAGCACCACCTCTAACCAACTGAGCTAACTGGCTAGAACTTTTGTGGGTTTTTTTTTTTTTTTTTTTTTTTTTGACGGGTAAGGGGATCGCAACCCTCGGTGTGGTGTCGTCTGCACCACGCTCAGCCAGTAAGCGCACCGGCCACCCCTATATAGGATCCGAACCCGCGGCCTCGGCGCTCCCAGTGCTGCTGTGCCAGCACCGCACTCTCCCGAGTGAGCCACAGGGTCGGCCCTGTGTTATTTTTTAATTCCATTTTCCACAACTGTTTTGAAGTACCCCTAGAGATTCTGATTTAGTTGGCCTGGGCTCCCAGGTGATACTTATGTGCAGCCAAGTTTCAGACTTAACTGCTTAAAAGAACCTTTTTTTTTTTAAATCAACTACAATGTATATTGAGAAGTTAAAAATAATAAAATAAGCCCCCCTTTTTTTATAATCATGCCTCCTATATAGTTCTTCCTAGGGGAAGATAGTGAAGTGATTTGCAGAGTCATCTGTTGTGGTCACATTTTATTCTTTTGATTTGAAAATAGCAATTTTTGTATCATAAAGTCCTTTTAATTTTCTGGTATCTCTAATGGAGGTGGAAGCCATTAGTTATATCATTAGGCTTGAAATAGAGACATAATCTGAACTTGTGGATTTAATATGTATAGTAGGGAGAATTATCTACCAGGAGTGTACAGCTAGGCCTGTTTCAGATTAACAGCATTTAATGTCACAGTGATTAAAAGACCACAGTGATTAAAAAAAGATTTTAGCATATAAACTGTTGGTATATACATTAATGTGGGACAAGTGCTAGAATATCCTGTAGGGGCATTAACATTAAGCATGTAGCCGAGATACTATCAAAGCAGGTACACCAAAATAAAATGAGAAGTTTCCTTTCAGTAAACTTATCTGGTATATTTGTAAGTTTAATTCATTTAAAAATTTTTAAATTATACATTTTATACAGCTTTAGATACTGTGAGGAGAGGGAAAATCATAATCTTCCCAGTATTAAGAACTTCTAAAGATCTTCATCCAGCCCCACATAGAGTGTAAGGTATGGTAAGTTTAAAAGTTGTGTTTTAGAAAACATTTTTTTCTGGCATCTGGCTAGTACAGGGATTGAACCATGGACCTTGGTGTTAGCACCATGCCATAACCAACTGAGCTAACTTGCTATCCCTAGAAAACATTTTGTTTAATATAAAAAATACATTTCAAATCAGATGCAAAATATACTAGGTATTTTTTTTTTTAAAGATGACCGGTAAGGGGATCTCAACCCTTGGCTTGGTGTTGTCAGCACCACGGTGAGCCAGTGAGCAAACCGGCCATCCCTATATAGGATCCGAACCCGCGGCCTTGGTGTTATTAGCACCGCACTCTACCGAGTGAGCCACGGGCCGGCCCATACTAGGTATTTTTGTCATTTGGGTAGATCAAAAATTTTGCTTAGGTTATGATGGATAAAATTAAATGTTAGTGAAAACCTTAAAACACGACAAATACATGTCATTCTTGAACTCAAAATACAAATGGACAACAGGGGATTTAATGCTGTGAAAATGAGTGGAAAGGATACCATCAGTAATAAAAACCATGTTCATTAGCTAGGAAATTCTTGATCCACTGAGGGAGTGGAGCAAGAGTCCCCCTTAGGATTATATGGTAGCAGTGGCATCTGCAGGAAACCAAGGAGAGAAGGCATGATACAGAAGCTGTCCAGTTGTCTGCCTGGTCTCGCTGTGGCTCACCGTTTGCTTCTCTTTCAGCTCTAACATCTGGATGATCACCAGACTTTATGATTTTAGAACATATCCACTGTTTAGATTCTTAATGGCTGGGCCGGCCCTGTGGTGCACTGCTACAGTGCGCCACTTGGGAGTGCGGTGGCGCTCCCGCTGAGGGTTCGGCTCCCGCCGAGGGTTCGGATCCCACATACAGACTGGCTGAGCGAGGTGCGGCCGCAACACCGAGGGTTGCGATCCCGTTGCCTTTGCCGGTCCCGGTCCGGTACGGGCGCGACACTGACGGTTGCGATCCGTTGCCGGACACGAAAAAAGACAAAAAGGAAAAGAAAAAAAAGATTCTTAATGGCATGTAGGTTCTCGTCCAATTGATCTCTGTATAGTATTTTAAATTTTTACGTTGAAATAATTTTTAAGCTGCAGATTACTAATTTTAAACATTTTGCCTCATTTGTTTTTATATCCTCTTTTTACACACACTGTATTAGTCTGTTTTCTGTTGCTTATAACCAAATACTTGAAACTGGGTAATTTATAAAGAAATGAAATTTATTTCTTACAGTTTTAGAGGCTGGGAAGTCCACAGTCCCGGGAACACATCTGGTGAGGGCCTTCTTTTTAGTGGTGACTCTCTAGAGTCCCGTGGAAATACAGGCCATCATATGGTAAGGATGGCATGAGCAGGAGAGATAACTTTTCTAACTTCTTGTCCTTATAAAGCAATCAGAACTGTGCCCATGACAACCCATAAAACCATGAACCCATTACTGCATGAATGGATTAATCCATTCATGATGGCACAGTTCCCGGTGATCTGATAAACTCTTAAAGGCCTCACCTTCCACCACCATATCGGAGGTTAGTTCCAACATGAGCTTGGGGGACATTCAAATCACAGCTTACACATTGGTTTTTTTTTTTTTCTGAGCCATTTGAGAGTAGGTTGTATATCATGCCCCTTTATGCCCTAATATCTGAATTTATCCACTGTTTAGATTCTTAATGGTGTGTAGGTAACACACCACTGTGCAGTTACTCATATTTCAGAAAATTTAACGTTGATACAGATACAATACTTTTTAAAATTTTTTTATTTTTTGGCAGCTGGCCAGTGAAGGGATCAGAACCCTGGATGTTGGTGTTGTAACACCATGCTTAATCAACTGAGCTAACAGGCCAGCCATGATGCAGTGCTTTTAGATAATCTATTATATATTCCAATGTTTATTGTCCCTGTAATTCCTTTATAAAATATTTTCCTTTTAGTCCAGGATCATATATTGCATTCAGTTGTCCTATCTTTTTATAATTTAATCTGAAAGAGTTCCTTAGTCTTTATCTGTCCTTAATGATGTGGGTATTTTTGAATAATACAGGTCAGCTTTGTTTTGTTAGCTTTTTTTGAAGAATGTTCTTCATTTTGGGTTTATCTAATGTTTCCTGAAAATTGAATTCAGGTTCTTCATCCTTGGCTGGAATACCATGTAAGGGGTGTTATATCCTTCTCAGGGTATTACATCCAGAGGCACACAATAACCTTCAATAGTTTTGATCACATGGTCAATTTATTGTCCAGTTTCTCCACTATATGGGTAATATTTTTCCCTTGCAATTAATAAGCAATATATGTTATATAAGATACTTGAAGACTATGCAAATATCTTGTTCCTCATCAAACTTTTTGATATACATTTAGCATCCATTGATGATTTTTTTTTTTTTTTGGACACTGGCTGGTATGGTATTGATGATTCTTACCTGAACCAATTTTTACTGCCATTATTGCAGAATAGCTGATTTTTTCTAACTCTAGCACTCTTTTCTGCCTTTTTCAGTTGGCATTCTACCGTAGGAAGAGCCCTCCCTTCTGCACCTGTTTAACCTGTCCTCATTGGTTCCTATCGTTTTCAGTGGTTTATAATCATTAGTGTCCTTGATTATTTTGGTGGTCAAATTGTTACAGATTGGCCAGTGAGAGCTCCTTTAAACTGGCTCCTGTGTCATTTTTTACTACTACTTCTTATTTTGTTAGCACTTCCTTACTTTGTGGCACAGTAAGATAGTCTAGGCTTTCTACCTTCCCTGCCCTCGCCTTGGAAAGAGTTGTTTCTCCCAAGAGCCATTGTTTCTTTTTGTGGGAAACGAAGATCAGAGTACTAGGTAGGCACATTGCTATTGGAGCATCTTTGTTTCTAAGTCCCTTTCAGCAAATAGAGGTAGGAAACTAAAAATGATATCTCCAAATGTCCATCCTCATACCATTTTTCTTTGTCTTTCCCCATTCTGAAGTTGTTTCTTCCTCTTAGAAGAACCTTGGTTCCCAACATGAGTGCACTCACCC